ACGAAAGAGATCAAAAGTAAGAGGAATTAAGATTTTTTCCTCTACCAAAATGTCATTCACTACAATAGTAGATTTAAAATATTGGCTTCACGTTAAGTTTTCTTTTAAAGAAAAAACGTTTGTTAGATTTTTTGGAAATTTAAGCACTAGTATAACTTTTAGAATACAATCTTTAAAATATAACTCTATAAATTTCAAAAATAATATTTATTCCTTTTAAATTGAACTTATAAAAAATATTTTAAAAGTGTATGTACTTCAAGATCAGCAATCCTAAATAAATATTTAAGATGCGCATCGGAATATATTACAGTCGTTCATTTCGAATTTAGCTAATAAATAAAATATTTTATTCTAAAAGAGTCTGAAGTGTTCAAGTTCAGCAGACGCTATTCTAAATAAATCTGGCATGCACAGCGAAAGAGATGATAGGGTATTATTTATTATTATAAAACTCGTCAATCCATGAAATCTCCCTCCATATAAGCCTTAATCCATAAAACCTTTATATATTAATAATATCCCTCCTTTTATGTAAATGGCGGTTTTTGATAAGTATTTCAAAATTCTGTGCATAGACAGGGGTCTGTTTAGAAGAAATTTGAGTTCGTTAACGGACCCTTCACAAAATATCTTTTCATAAAAACGAACCCTTCACAAAATGATTTTTCTTTTAATCGGACCCTTCACAAAGTTGTTTATCTTCATTATTAATTTGTTAATCGAATAAACCCTTCCCAGTGGGGAAAACAAGAAAGATGGATGTAAACGAATTAAGTTTTGTCTTCGGCAGACGATTCTTCCATTATTCGTCCGAAATGAATATTCTGTGTTCAGCAGTATAGGCTAAATATAAAATATTTGTATGTTGCATCTCTAATTTAGAAGCACCAATTGCCGTTTATTTTTGAAAATAAACAGCAATTAACTAAACAGAAACAGCATAATCTTGTATCTATTTACAATTTAAAAACTCCTTGAGAAAGGTTTTTGCAATAACCGGACCCTATTTGCACAAATTCATAAAAGCAGGACTCAGGTTAAAATAATGTGACTTATCGTTTATTTTATATTCACAAATTACGAGTAATTTTTTCACAATTTTGCAAAAACAGGACCTTTCACAAAATGTCTGAACAGACCCCTGATACAACCTGAACTTATTATAGTATAGTAATATTTTCACCGATATTTAAAAATTTTAAATTTTCAAAATATATTTTAAAAGTTTCAAAATTTCCATTTGAAGTTAAAAAGAACCAACAATCCTGAAGTCTTCAGTTCTCAAATGAATCAGCTTTTCATACTGATATAAATTATTGATTTTATCATTTCAATAAAACATTTCTTTTTTCTGTTTATAAATTTATAACGATAACGCAGATTTTATATGTGAATATACTTTTTTTTACCACGAACGTTTTTAAATATGCTTTGAATTTGTCAGCTTATAATATTAAATGCAAATTATACTTAAATATTTTCAAAATTTTTAACATTCATAATTTAGATAAATTTAAATTATACTTATACTGATCAAAATGTAGCCGGTTTGAGTACCGTTAAAAAATACTGGGTTCTAATATCGATAAAAAGTAAGTGGGTTCGAGAACTCACGAAATGATAGTTGGATCGAATATACCTCTAAAAACATCGGTGGTTCAAGTACTGATCAACAAATACATGGCTTCTAAAGATGATCAGTTCAGATGATAGTGAGTTCGAGTTTAGATTAAAAAAAAAAAGAGTCGGTTTAAGTACTGATAAAATAACTGGTTTGAGAACCGATAATAAGAGAATGGGTTTAAGTTTGAAACAAAAGGAAGGAAATTGGTCAAATGTAGTGGGTTCATGCACCGATTAAATGAGAGTGGGTTTGAGAACTGTCTAAAGAGTAGTTGGTTCAAGTATCTTGCAAAATATTGTGGATTCGATTACTGATCAAATGGTAGAGGGTTTGAGTAAAGATAAAAATTAAGTGGAATCGAGTACCGATAAAGTGATAGTGAGTTCGAGATTTGACTAAATGATAGTTGGTACGATGCCTACTAAATAATCGCAAGTTTCAGTATTTATCAAAAAGATTTATGGTTTCTAATTCTGATCAAATGATATTGGGTTCGAGTACCGTTAAAAAAGTAGTAAGTAAGTGTACTGATCAAATGATAACAGGTTCTTGAGTATAGATCATAATATAGTGAGTTAAAGTTCTGAAGAAAGGAGTGGGCTCTAAAATTAATAAAAATAATGACGGTTTCGAGTAACATTTAAAAAATAGTGGTTTCAGTAGACGAAAAAATAAGCGTGAGTTCAAATACTAATCAAATGATAGTCAGTTTGAGTACCTATAAAAACATCATAGGATCGAGTACTGATCAGATATACTTGTTCTTAAAGCAATGTTAATCTTAAACACGAAACTTGAAGCAAATCCCCTCTGACCCCTTTCTTGTTGATTAGTATAGAGAAGAGATGTGGATCTCGAAATGTCTGGCAAACGGGAAACTAAATTGTCAAAAAATGAATTTTGTGCAGCACATTTTTCTTTTCTTCTTTAGTAATACTTATATGTAACGAACTTTAACTACAGAGAAATTTAACCTAAGAAAATATGATTTAGAAAAAAACCTAGAAATATATTTTTCAAGCATAATAATTTTAAAAGAGTAAAAAAAATATATAAAACAAAAATCTGGGTCTGGTTCGATCGTCCTCTAACCTGGTGCTTCGGACGATCGCCCGCCTTGCCCGCCCCTTCATTTAACTAGACCTACTATATATATTTCAGACATTTACCAAAGCGACTGTGGGATTGTCAACATTCACCCGTGGAAATAAACAACCACATGGATAGGTCCTCCATGTTCCCATAACAAATTAATACCTTTGGGGATACTGATCCAGGAGTCTCCTTGTCTTCTGGATTGGCTCAAAATTACAAGACTACGGAGTTGAACATTAGTGGTCGTAAACCCAAAATTGGGTAGGCTGTTTGACGACGGTTAATATATAAAAAAAAGACACCAATTTTGGTCATTCACAGTAACAAATATTTTATGTAGAATTTAGCTCCAGCTTTGAATGCATAAAGAATAACAGTTATTGAACAGTATTATGAAAGTCTTAACTTTCGAACCATTTGTGAGATTCAGCCAAAACTTGGCGACATGTAGGGATTTTGTTTTGAGCATGCGCATTTTTATTCACATTCAGTAGTCACATAAAAAAATCGTAATAAATCAGCCACGTTTCGGAGAATAAACGGATCATTAAAGCCGCCCTATTTTCCTCATCTCAACTGTGGAAACTGACATTTTGGATGCGATTTTTTGGTCAAAATTTATACAAATAACTCTAAAATTAGGCTGAACAAAAATCTGTCATCCAAGTGTAATCGCCGACCTACAATTGATGAACACAATGTAACACCAAAAACTCATTTTTCTTTAAAAAAAATATTAGAGCTTCTAAAATTTCTTTGGCTCAATTATATGCTTTTAGAATCTGCAAATACGCTTGCTACAAAATACATACTGTACTGTACTTACCAGGACCCTGACCAGTACCGTCTGTATGGTCATGCCCCATTCCTAAATTATGACCTAGCATATGTGTGATGGTACTAGCGACAAGTTGAGGCTCATAGATGTTATTGTCCTGAAAAAATAGAAAAAAAAATCTTTCACATATACATAAATTGGAAATAATTATTGTTTATCTTTTTCCTTCACTGTTATTACATATATATTTTGTACTATAAATATTTATATTATATATATTAAATATATATTATACATACATATTATATATATTTTATTAAATGATATAATTAGTTCTTACCTCACTAATGCCCACAGCTTTAGCTGTACAAATACTATCTGGAACAGCCATTCCAACTTCACTTCCTCTGAATCGTTTCCCCCTAAGAAAATGGAATCATAGATTCAGAGTACTGAGATGGGTTGATAAAAAAATGTAAGAAAATCCCAAAATTACGATTAAAAATTCATGGTTGCAATGACTGATGGAATGAGTACTTTAAATGTGATATTAATCTACTTAACGAGATGGGTTGATAAAAGAAAGAACCAAATTCATGGTTGCAATGACTGATGGAATGAGTACTTTAAATGTGATATTATCTACTTAACGAGATGGGTTGATAAAAGAAAGAACCAAATTCATGGTTGAGCACTGATGGAATCAGTGCTTTATATGTGATATTAATCTACTTAACGAGATGGGTTGATAAAAAAAAGAACCAAATTCATGGTTGCAATAACTGATGGAATGGGTACTTTAAATGTGATATTAATCTACTTAACGAGATGGGTTGATAAAAGAAAGAACCAAATTCATGGTTGCAATGACTGATGGAATGAGTTCTTTAAGTGTAATATCAATCTACTCACGTAATGTGATGTGTTGATTGAAAAAAACTAAATTCATGATTGCAAAGACTGTTGGAATGGGTACTTTAAATGCGATATTAATCTACGTACATAATGAGATGTGTTGATAAAAAAGCCCCCAAAATAATGATAAAAAAAACCTAATTTCATGGTTGCAAAAGCTGATGAAGTGGGCAGATATTAATGTACTTACGTAATAAGATACGTTGATAAAAAAAACCAAAATGATGATAAAAAAAACCATGGTTTCAAAGGTTAATAGAATGGATACTTACGTAATAAGATGTGTTGCATCTTTGGCTACTTTGTATAATTTTCGCGATGTGTAGTCTAAGAGGTTGAGTAAAGTTTGTCGTACATCTGCTATGACGTCAATTTGATCACCATGGGCCCATGTTTCTACATATACCACTGATACTCTTGTATTCACATGCTTGAAATACTGTGAAAAGAGCAATTTATTTTTATTTGAATTCAGAGCTTTGACAAAGTTGATGAAGTCTAATAATAAGACAGTCGTTAAGTTAGAAAGTTAACATTTAAGAAAGGCTATATTATAGCTTTCATCGTGTTTTCTTCCAAATAATACCGGGGGAAGTGAATTGGGCTTTTCTAACGCAATCTCACACTTTTCTAACTTTTCTTTCAACGGCAGGTACTGAACTTTCATTTTTCACCTCGGAGGATGCCGGAAGTGTTATTCATTTAACATTACCCAGTAGGCACATGTGAAAAAAAGTCACGGAGGCGAGCAATACATACCCGTTAATAAGATGGGCCATATTCACACACACAACAAACAAAGCGAATGACCTGAAAGAGATTCGAACTCACAGCCATTGGCTTCGCAATCGGACATGCTAACCGCTCGGCCACTTGAAATTTGATACTGAATTTAAATATAAGGTTTTCAGCAAGAAAAAAAAATCTTCCACAAAAGTGTACACTACAAAAGTTTTCTTCTTTCCTAATTTTGTTTAAGTTCAATTGATTTAATAAAGTTTTTAAACTGTTGCTAGGCTACTGAGTTCAACGCTTACGTTTTTCATTTCGAAATTCGATTTTTCCACAGCAACTTGTTAGTCTAAAAAAATTCCCCTAGACATCAATGAGTCTTTTAGGTTAACTGGAGTGCAGTAGTTGGTTGGGCAAATTGCAGTTTCAAAACTAAGCGGATTTTTTAGGTATATTATGAAATGTTTACTTATTAAAATCGCACCAAATTTTTAATTTTAAAATGCTTCATCAAAGTTTATAGCTGAAACAAAGTACGTAAAAATTAATTGTAACTAAGTCAATCAGATACTAATGCGGTTATGTCTAGAATAGAAAAATGTAAACATCAAATTAATTCTATAAACAAAGTCTAATTTTCTCAGACAAGACGAATAAAGCAATATTTAATTTTTAGAAACTTCTTAGTATTATTTTACAAAGCAAGTAAAGCACATCCCTCAAAAAACACTGTGTCCAGTGAAAAAATATTGAGATGTCCTTCCTTATTGATGATCAAATTTCTCATTACCATCAGAAACTCTAGAAAATACTGAACAATAAGAATGTCTGAATTTTTTAACAGGCAGATTTCACACTTTTACGTTAGGTCCCGTTTGTTCTTGCAGATAAGATTTGAAGAAATTGCTCATGCTTGCTTTAATTTTGGATATCTTTATATCATGTTGGCTGTTACGGCTGCTATTAAATATTGCTTTCTGTTTAAGCCGACCTTCAAACTAAAAACCAGGGCTAAAGAGAATAGAAGGGCTAGTTCACTCCGCTCTTAGAGCTGAAGCTAAGATTTCCCTCCTCATGACGTCACTGTGTCCACAGATCTCGGAGATCGCAAGCAAAGATATGATAGCTTTGCATCTTTCTCTTTGTAAAAATAAGTTATACTTTTTCTGGTTATTAGCCTTCAAACTTTACGTAATTAACACATTATTTCCGTTCATAAACATAGTTAAAAAAAAATTTCTTGGTTATTATATTAAAAAAAATACCATTTTAAACTTATAAAAATGCTAGTTGGTGAAAATGACACGATAAATATTTTATTTTAAAAAGTTCAGTTTTAACTTTAACTATTAAGAAAAATGAAGGCATATATCGACACTTTTGTTTATCTACATATTCTTTTATAACGATAAGTTAAATTTAGAATCCCTGACTTTAAAATATGTCGTTAATAGCAATTTGTTCTTACTTAATCATTAGGGAACATCGACCTTAAATTCAGCTAATCAGTGACTTTTAGCAAACATCACTGATTTTAATTGTTTGTGTCACCAAACTATTTTTATTTAGACATAACATCATTTTGTTTTATATTTTGCCTTAATTTATCGATACGTAAACTTTATCTTAGAAAAATAATATTCAAATATCTGCTTTCAAAATTTCTCGGAATGTGTCTCTTGAATCATGCAGTTCAATAGGTTATTACTGGAACTATTCTTCAGTAATTTAATTTCAAAATATTTTGTAAGGAGCCCGAAAATTTCGGTGGGCCTCAATTTGTCTTGATTGGTCCCTGGCTAACATACCTGTGTAGTTTAAAGCAAACTACTGTTAGTTATGGTTATTTGTGCACCTCATGCATGAACTAAATTTCTTCATTCTTCGGACACAAATCTAAATAATTCATCTAATAAATCATCATTCCTTATTTCCGAATTCATCAAAATCTACCAAATTTTTCTGCTCTCAAAACCAGTTTTTCGTAGAGCAAAGCATCTAGAGTCGTATGTAACAGCCTTGCAGAGATAGTCCATTGTAAATGTACGTTTTGGTTTTGTGGTCATATTCCACTTTTAACATTCGAATTTTTGCAGAATCTCTTACTTTTTCTCATGTAAGTTATATATTTTTTCATGGGTGCATGCACATTTCACCAGAACCGACGAATGCGCACTAGAAGTGTGTATGCGCGATTAATTAAAACCTTAACTACGGAAGCTTACTTAAATTTGCGAAATCTTCCTATTATAGTAAGCCTATTATATTCTCCCTATTATAGTATCCCCCAACATAGTAACGTATATTTTATTTAACATAAAAAAAAATCTAAAAATAAACTTCGTAAGCGCATTAGTAACTTGGAGCAACTTTTACTTTTGATAGTACGAAATATACTTACTAAATCTACGATGTTAATTATTTGAATAGCATCGCTAACAACTTCAGCTCTTGAAGAGTTCCTGCTTTCGAACTAAAACAGTTTAATAAAACAAAAATATAGAAGGACTGAAAAAGTTATAAAAATTATATAAATTAAAAAGATTTTTTTTACACGAATATCTAAATTTTTAATAGTGGATAAAATAAACTATATCAAATGAAACTATTTCATTTCTTGATAATTTTATAAATGACACTTGTTACACTTCATTTTGAACTTCTTTTAACTGAATTTCTCCTAAAACACAAATATTGTCATAAGAAAAGAGTAGAAATGTAAATCTTTTAAATTAAAAAAGGAAAAAAAAATTAATTGAAGACTAAAATATGGTATTAATGGCTTTTCTACCTTTCTGCAATATGGGGGCCATTTGTAGCGAACAAAAAAGAATATTTAGTCTTTTGTTTCCTGTTATTCTGGTTCACTTGTCGTATCAGCAACGACAGTCCGTACTTATTAATTGACACATATTGGGTGTCCGTATTTATAAAATAACACATATTGGGTGTCCGTACTTATTAACAACACCCAAGATGTGTTAATTACATTTTTTTTTAAAACAAAAGTCTCACAGGGCGTCTTTTTTTCATCTGCTGATAAATATAAGAAGAAAAAAAACTTTTAAAAAAATCATAATTTAAAATATTTAGTTATTATATTTTGAACTATTTTAAAATGCACATCAGTTACTTTATTACGATTTAAAAATACTTATCAATTCTCAGTCTTCAATTACAAAATAATTCTTTTATTCGTATTTTTCTTTATTTTGTATTTTTCTTTTATTGACTTACAATACAGTTCAATTCATTTTTTAAATATCTCGAAATGCTCACCAATGGTTTTTAAAGACTTGAATTACTGACCAAAATATATTTAAATTAAAAATTTATTTGAATTATTAAACTAAATTGATTAAATAACTGTCGCACAACAAAAGCTTTGAAATCTATTTAAGCAAGTTTTTGTTTAAAAAAAGTTATACAATGTTTGCTTTTTAAAATCGTTTTATATTTTATAAACATATGCTTGTCAAAAGGGTACAAATAGTATGAAAAATTAAAAAAAAATAAGCCTATATAATAAAATAAATATTAATATTTTTTAAAAATAAATAAATTTAAAAAAAAATGGTGGTTTTTCTGCAGTAGCTTCTTTCTTTTTGAGAGTTTCATAGTAATTCTACCTGAACGCGGTACAAATTGTCCTTATTAATATTTGCTTTTTCTCCTTTCTCAGAAACGGTACTAGTACTTCAAATAACGACATATTTGATCAAAATTATTTGGTCTAAATTAATGAGAAAAGTGTCTTGAAATGGTACAGTTAAAAAATTTATTTAACATTACATTAAAATAACAAATTCTATGTAATTTAATCTTGCTAATACTATTTTAATACTAATTTAACTAATACTAAATACAATACTAATAATACTGGTATTAGCAGGTTGATTAGCAATTACTTACCATCTCCTTATCTATAACCAATGCCAATTCTATAAATTTATAGACTTGACGAACGTCCCTCTGAAAAAGCGAGTTTAATACTTTTATTATTTACGATAATACACAAATAAGCTATTAATAAAATTTTTCTATAGAATAAAAAACTATCAACTTTAATATTAATAAAGATATATAAAGTAAGCGAAATACAAATAAATATATGTAGAGTAAGTATCAATATTTTTTAATGTAACTTATAGTTCGAAACATAGAACAGCTCTTTTCAAAATAACTCCCCAAAATAAATATCCATGTCTTTTTTTCAGGGTGCGTAGCCAAATCTTTAAAAAAAAAACATTTTAAGTACTTTCTAAGCACTCAAAAATATTTTTAATCCCTACATACATTACAAAATGCAAAATAATTTTCAAAGAATTGACATGATCATGATAAAATAACCAATTTTTGACAAAGAACACTTTTTCTTGAATATATTAGCCATTATAAAAGGATTAAGAGGTTATTCGGTTCGATATCAGAGGGTGGAAAATGAAGCCTGAATTTGAGAATATCTAGCAAAATGCAGCAGAGTTGCATATAAGAGTGCAATAATCTCACCGAACACAGCTCAGTATATGCACATGTGAACCCGCAAGTATTGCATGAAACATGTAAAATGATGGGCGCTTTCATTCGCTATGGACCAACGGGACGCCGAAATGAATTGTGAAAGCGTTGGTAGTGAAGGAACAGTGTGAAAAGTACACTTTTGAATAATACGTGGCGAAAATCGACATAGTGAAGAAAAAAATCTCATTTTCGAAAAGGCACTTTTAAGCACTTAAGCACTTTTTAAAAACACCCAATGAAAAAAGCATCTTTAAGGGCTTTTAAAATCTAAAATCTAAAATAAGCACCCTTAAGAACTTTTTAAAAACTTTATAACTGTTAATTTGTCATAATGTTTAGTAAACTTACTTTAATTCTTGTGGGTGGTCTGATTCTGAACTGCTTGAATCCCCATTCGTGCATACCAGTGTTTCCTAAATACAAGAAAAACATTCTGTTAACATTCCCTAAATACAAGAAAGATATTCTCTTAACATTCTCTAAATACAAGAAACATTCTCTTAACATTCCCTAAATACAAGAAAGATATTCTCTTAACATTCCCTAAATACAAGAAATACAATCCGCAGTTAAAGTAAAGAATTATTATAATGTAAAGGCTGAAAAAAATAATGTTGTATAAACGTAATGAAAATAACGTAGTTTTAAAATTCGATACTTTATTTATTTACGTCTCACCTAGAGCTGCACTGTGACCCCCCCCCCCCCCNCCCCCCCCCCCCCCTGCTTTCGTAGCCCCACGACCTGCGAGCGAAGACGTGCACTTTACGGTAGAACAGTTTAACGAAGATTGATACCTCACACAAGGAAGATTCTCTGTTTCTTTTTTTGGTAGCTTTTGTGCTAACGGAGTTTGGAGAAGGAAAACTACATCTGAACTTGACGGGATATTCAGAGAACATCCTGAAGTATCATAAGTCCCAAAATATAAAACGAGCCAGAATGATGAGCGAATGACGAATAAAATTTTTTCTGGCGAAACCAATAGGAATTAGAAGAAGAGGGAGACCCAGATGGAGGTGGGAGGACTGCCTCTAAAGTGACTTTGTCTGAATTAACCCCGGAGATTGAATGGCTGTGGAGCGCAGAAAGAAGGACTAGTCTCGTCTTCTTGAGAAGGCCAGGGTTTATCTAGGACTGTTGAGTTATAGAAGATGATGATGAACTCGAAACAAACAAACATAAGGCTTTCTTTGGAAATTTTCATAATCAAATATTAAAATCAGAATAAAAAGATATGAGAATTTGCGGTTGTTTTTAAAATGCATTTTTTTTCAAAGAAAGGAAATTATCATCCTTAATATATTTGGGCATATTTCCGAAAATATATACGGCCATTGTGGACCACCCTGGATAAAAATACCTTAACATTTACAAAGAATCTATAAATACTGCAATAAATAAAATAAAATAATGTTAATAAGCATCGGTATTGAGGAATACTACCCGCAATATTTACTGCTATTAAAATTTAAAAAAAAGATATCAGGAAAAATAAATCTGTTTGTTACATTTGCATTAATGCATTTTTTTCAAAGAAAAAAAAATTATCTTTAATATATTTGGGAAAATATTCAAAAATATATGCAGCCATTTTAGGCCAAAATAAATAAAATATATCTTAATATTTACAAAGAAGTACTATAAATACTACAATAAATAAACGAAATTAAAAAAAAAATAGATATCGATATAGAGGAATACTAACCACAAGTATGCTTTCCCTTGTTTTCGGGAAAGAATCGAAAAAGCACGTGAGGATGCTTGCGCTGGAAAATAAAATATTGAAAAATTATTTTAACTGCTTAAAAAAAAAAAGAAAAAAGAAATAGTACTCACAAATCAGAAGCTTTGTTCCGAACTGTTATTTTTAAGTTCTTTTATCCAAAGAAAATAAAACTAAATCAATAATTTGCAAGCCAGTCACTTTTAAATCTTTCAAGACTTTTAATTTATCTTGTCGGAAAAAATTATTCAATTTAAAATTGGAAAAATACATTAAACATTTTTAAAAAATGTAGATTAGGTTACCTTTAAAAAATTACTAATTTGGTGAAATGTTATTCATCAAGTTGAAAGTATAAAATCCTTTTATTTTCCCGAGCATAAAATGTTAAGAAATGGTCAAACTCGAAGCCTGTTATTCATTAAAAGGCCTTATTTCATGCGGCAGACAATTTTAAAACACATGCGTTTCAAATATTATAAAAAAATATTCTAAAGCATAAGTTAAAGTTTTAAAAAAATAATTGAAAGAAAAATAATAAAATGACAAAAATATCTGCTAGAATTAAATTTGTCTGATGCATTTGTAAATGGATAAAATATATCAACAGCTACTTTTAAATTGAAAAAAGAAACGTCTTAAAGATTTGTTAAAGTTTTAAAAAAACTGTACAAAGTATTCGTTAACGTTTGAATAAATATCTAAATCACTTAATAAATTTTTTAGAAGATACAAATTTTTTGTTGAAGAGAAACTAAATTTGATTACTCACAGACATATCACCACCATAGAATGGATGGATAACAAATGTCTCATTTCCCACATGAATTACTCCACTAAAAGAAAAAAGAAATATAAGTTCATAAAAAATAATGCAATATATTGTGGCGAACGGCACCTATCGTAAGAACGCTGAAACCGTCCTGGCGCGACAACTGGTAGACGGTACGCTGAAACCGTCTACCAGTTGTCGCGCTCTTTCATCAGCTAGGCACGAGTTTGCTGTGTATCAAAACATTATCCTTCTTTTTCCTGCGCTTTTACAAATCTGTTATATTTAATAATAAAAGTTAAGTTTGTTATGTGAATTCGTGATTATTGCTAAGTTAATTCCCCTTCTGATCTAAACAAACTACATGAACTTATTATACTGAAAGAAAATGTTAAGTAACATTTTAAAAAAACTTTCGTATTTTAATGGCAACGTTATAATGGAGCGGATGTGTAATACTTAATTTAAAAATAAGACGTGCTTTTTATTTTTATTTTGTAACCGTCGTTGAACAGCCGACCCAATTTTGGGGTTACGACTACTAATGTTCAATTCCGTAGCCTTGTCATTTTGAACCTAATCTAGAAAACATGGGAACTTTTGGATCAAGTATTGAGAGAAATTTGCTTTCGCTGAGGACTTTATGATGGAACTAACCAGCATTTGCGTTACACGGAGAGGAAGACCACGAGAACGCCCCACGTTTACAATGACGGCAAAGGGACTCTAACCCATGATCCGTCTACCACTGAGGATATTTCACGTCAGCACTGTGGTCGGTGCAAGCCAGATGCAGAATCCGTATTGACCAGCCGTTGCCGGGAAACTCCAGGATCAGTATTCCCAGAGGTATTGATTTGCTATGGGAACATGGAGGATTTTGCGACTCAACGGATTTCATTGAACCCAATATTGGGTTTACGACTACCAATGTTTCATTCCATAGCCTTGTAATTTTGAACCCAATCTAGAAGACATGGGATCTTGGATCAAGTATTAGGAGAAATTTGCCTTTGCGGAGGACTTTTGATGGAACTAACCACCATTTGCGTCACACGGAGAGAAAGATCACGAGAACCTCCCACAGTTAGCCTGACGGCAAGAGAACTCTAACCCATGATCCGTCTATTACTGAGGAATATTTCACGTCAGCACTGTAGTTGGTGCAAGCCGGATGCGGAATTCGTATCGACCAACCATCGCTGGGATTCGAACCCGGTTCACCTCATTGGAAAACGAACGCTCTATCGCCTGAGCCATCACTGCTCAATGAGACACGGTTAATTTTTTTTTTTGGTCATAAAACAGACAAGGCATCTTAAGTGAGGGGATCTTTCCGAATCTGTCGTTCTAACTAAAATCGCCAATTTGCCAAATGGATTTTAAACTTGCAAACGTTTTTTTTTTAAATGTAAGTAGATGTGGGGTGGGTACGAGTTATACCTTTCAAGTTGATCCATTTCTGTGATGTTTATTTTTAGTGAGAATTAGTAGTTCATATAGGGAAATCTCCCCTTGAATGGCATGGTTAGTAATCAAAATCTTATAACAGGAAGTACAAAAAACAATTCTAGCAGAAAATCCATGTGACAGGGCAATTTTTTTAAAAAGTTCCAAATTTAAGTTAAATTTTCCCTGCCAGATGGCACTTAGGACAGTAAAATCAATAAATCAAGGAACAATAATTGAAAATCATATAATGGGATTTCGGCTCAATGTAATGTGCCAAACATAGAAGATATTGTAATGTCTCAATCGAAAAGTGAAGAACTACTTAGTGAGAAACGCGAGAGTGAAAGCAGTAAAACCAGTTCGATTGCCAAAATAAACAAAAACAAGTGAAAAATTTAAACACCTCCTAGTTTAATAAGGCAATGAGAAAACTGACTTAGAAATTTTTTTCATTCAACTTCAGCCATTCCCATTTCTTCCCTTAAATAATATTTTTTTTCAAGGTTTCTTATAATATATGTATATTGATTACAGATCAGCTTTTAGAATTAAAAAAATTATTTTAATTGAATAAAATTAAAAAGACGTACTGTTTATGTTTGAGAAAAAAACAACGACATTTAAACTAAACAATGTATCATGGTTATAGTACTTGTATATATTAGTGTATATAGTTTTTGCTATAAGGTTATCTGATCAAATGTTATAACTACAGTTAACTTTGACTGAGCCTTAATGTAATATGTATTAGAACAAGAAAGCTTTCAATATAAGAAGAAACTTTTATTTAAAAAAATATTTTTTCGAAGGGATGTTATAGAGTTTAGTACCGTAAACCGAGGCGAGTCTACCCATTTTTTCAGTTTGTCAGCTTTCAAGTGGTCAAACTTTTTTAAATATTAAAGAAAAAAGGCTTTTAATAGGTGTTTCGGAATCGCTATTTATCCCTCTTTAAAGCTGTGAAATCGATTTTAGAAAATAATAACAGTTACGCTGTTACTGTATATTTTTATAGAACTGCTGACAAATCTCTCGTATGGGGCGAGTCTACCCATTCTACTAAAATGAATGTTAACATTGTAAATAATCAAATTTTACTATTAAATTGTTATTTTAGTTACTATATAGGATATTTATGAAGTAAAATTCATAACTTTATTATATATTCCATTTTTTTATTCATAAAATAACACAAATTGAGTATTTGATCGATTATCACATTTTGATCACAGTTTTGTTTTTATAATCATTAACATTATAAAATAACATTTTTTTCTGATTATTGTTGATAAAAATAAATTAAAATTAATATAAATTTACAATTAAATAATTAATAAATAATAATAATTAAAGATTATTAACAAAATCGAAATTCAAACATTGGGAATCATGAAAAATCCTTTTCCCATTCTTTTGGGAGGTAATAATAATTTATAAATAATAATTTATTTAACTTGCATTAAATAAAAAAAGTTAATTTTGTAATATAAAAATTGAAAAAATAGGTAAAATAAACATATTTTATATTTACATTTATATTTAACCTATAAATTTTCTTATTAATGATAAATTTATCAATGCAGAATTAAAATAATATACTCAAATTCATTTAAAATGACTTAATTTTAATATAAACAAAGTTCTAAATTATATTATTATGCTTTATTAAAACTAAATACGAATGGGTAGACTCGCCCCGCGAATTCTGGCTTTTTGTTTACAACAGCAAAACTTACATTCTTTTTGTTTTTTTTCATATAAAATTAATGTAATCTTAGTCTTAGATAAGTTTATCACTTAACCAAAGTGAAAATAGTAATAATAATAATATACTTACGGAGCACCAACTAAAAGTTTGCTGATTTTCAATACAAATCTCTCAAAAGACGTTTGAACAGGTCGGTTAAAAAGACACCAAATAAATAAAAACGGATCAAACTACTACAGCGCCATCTTCCTTAGAGTCTGAACTAAGTCCTCCATTGGTAAAAATTTTTTTATTTGCAATTTAAAATAGTGAAAATTAAATAAAACTAAAATGGGTAGACTCGCCCCTGGATGGGTAAACTCGCCCCGGTTTACGGTAATTTAAAGTTCAATAAAATATAAAGATTTGCAATTAATGACGAAGATTAAATTATGGAGTTGAAAGATGAAGTTGATGACACTAAGCACAAATGACATAACGCAATAAATGTAACCTGATTATAACGTTTTACCTGATTCCGTTGCATGTTCGTAGCGCTGCTATTCCACCAGGATATTCCTTTATTGTTCCATGGTAATAACACTGTTCAATTTCCTATTTAATAAATAAATAGTAAGTTGTTATTTTATTTTTTCCCTGCATGACGGTTAAATAGTCACCAGAAACATAACCAAACTTAACACTTCTTACTACACATAAAAATCTAATGATGATGTCATAGTTTTCAATTGTTTTCCGTGCATTTTTATTGGCCAGAAAATCACATGGTACGTTCCATTTTTACCACATTAATTTTCATATCGGTTTGGTTGTCATCAGCATAAAATTTATATAAGGCATAAAGGTATTGTTTAGCCCGGCCCACCTCCTTAGCTGTGTGGATTTTGAAAAGGAGGATTTTTTGCGCGACGTGGGGATGAGAAACAACAACAGGTATTGTTTTCTTTTAAATATTTTGGTATTCCTAATTTACAGGCTTTGGAGAAAGTAGTATTAGGCAATGCCAACTTTTATCTATTAAAAGGTACCTCAAGATTGATTAGAGTAAGCTAATCAAATTGATTAGCTTACTCTAATCAATCAATAATATACTGATCAATCAATAATATACAATATCAATAATATACTGACTCAATAATATACTGATTAATTGATGTTTAATACTCGTAGTGGCAGTTAAGCCACAAAGTATTTGTCTGTACTGTTATTATTGCGTTTTGAATTTTGTTTGTTTTTTAAATTAAGGGTTTATGAAGATTGTTTTTATTATTATTGCTCTAAGAATAACGCAATTCTACGTTGCATTTTAAGATAAAGTTATTTAAATCGGTTTTTCCTTAACCGCTTTACAATTCTCTGGTGCAAATTACATTAATATACTATTATAAGTTATGGTTAAATGAACTTAACTTTCAGCTTCATGCTCAAAGTGATGAATGCAGAAATTGTATTTTAAATATCCGTTCGTTTATTAAGCTAAAATATTAAATTACAGCTCACCAAATTTATTATACTTTTAAATGTTATTTCAAATAATGATTACTTAAAAAAAATGATTTATGTTTACTAATAGATCTTAATAGAATTATAAGGGAGAGAAATATTTGGAAGTGGAGTTACAAGTGTTCCTTTTAGCACGTATATTTTTAGTCGAATAGTTTCGACTGTTTCATGCCAAGAAACAGCAATTATCGGGGTTGGTGAACGTCACCGAACAGGGGTTTACCTCCCTAGTAACAGAAATAACAGTAACTCACGTGATATCTTTTCCATTTTATGTGAAAAATTAACTAGTCAATGAATTGTTCTGATTCATTAGTAAAATCAAGTGAAAATTGTTCACGGCCACTTTACTAAGCATAAACAACACATTTATAAGTATAGATGATGTTGTTGGAAAGTAAGAGCGTGAACACGAACTTTAGTAGCCATTTTGAAAGCTAATCTATAGATCTAAAGGTATTCATAGTTTTTTTTTCCGTTCACGCGGAAAATATTTTCAATAGGTAAAATAACATTTAACCCAGAGCTACGAAAGAAAAATAAAATATGCCATCAAACAATTCTTTTTTTTTTAAAAAATTAAAGTTATTTTATTGCACTTTCCACTCAACAAAAACACATATTGGAAAGTAGTATTTAATACTTAATTTAACTTTCTTATTTCAAAACATTTCGAAATTTTTTTAAACACAATAATAACCAAAACAGAATGTTTTGTTAATTAACTAATCTTAAACTTAGATAAAAACATTTGTCTTCAGTTTGCAAAAAAGTTCCAACTCTTTTTCTTTTTACAAAAAGAAACCGCCGTCTTTAATTACGGGAAATTAAAAACTTTTGGTATTTTTTAAGTACAAAAAAGTTTTTTTTTAAGAGAAAATTGTTGCTTACAAAATAGAAAAAATAAAATAAATTTTTTTCACCCGCATTTTATTTTGGTGTGAGAGCAACAAAAATCAAAGGAGGGATTTTAAACTAAGCGCTTCATTCCTCTGTAGTATTTAAAATGCTCTTTGAAGAACAAATAAATGTACGTAAAGCATTTTTATAACATAGAAATGCATGTAAAAATTCATTTTAAAACATTATTGGCGTTTATAATGGGAAAGAATTCGCAACGAGAATAGAATGTCGTAGAAATTTGTCGAGTTTATTTTCTTCAAAAAGTTATAAATAATTTCTCAGATTTCAGTGAAACGCCACACTATGCAAAATGAAAAATCCTTTGAAATCTAATTTTAGTATATTGGTGGTTGTTGACTTCTGCCGGTGAATGTTGACAATTGCATGGTCGCTTTGTAAACGTCCGAAATATATACTAGGTCCAGTTAAGTGCCACTGCCAGGTATACATTTGTCCGGTATGCCCTACATTGATGTTTTTAAAGTTCATTGCCACTCTCCGGTATACATTTGCTCGGTATGCTCTACATCAGGGGTTGCCAAACTTTTTTGATCATCAACCCCTATATAATTTCTTCGAAATCTCCATCGACCCCCATAAAAGAAATTTTCTGTTTATTAAAATAAAACTCTATTAGATACTGTGTTTGTACATTTATATTACGATTTTGAACATTTATTAAAGTAATAGTACATAGCGTAACAATAGTTTTATGAAAAATATATTATTGTTGAAATATAAATACCTTCATATTTATGAAATAATAAGTAATTATAAGTAAGTAGAAATAATAAGTAAAGTAACTACGGATTTATTGCTTCTTAATCAATGACATGGGTGTTCCTGATGTTTTTTTTCAGCAAGGTTCGTTATATTGGGTTCAAAATTGGTCAATTTTAATCTTAAATCCCCTCGAAACTCCACATTTAATTTATTTCTGTTCTTAGTTAAGATTGAATTTACGTGACTGAAACCGGCTTCAACCATATAGGAACTTGGAAATGCTATCAGAAATGGCTGAGCTATTTCGTAAAGTCTTACATATGTTTGCATTATATTTATATTTGTCCAAAATTTGCTTATTGTTAAATTTTTAAAAAGCGTCTTTGCTTCAAATCCCCATAATAATTCAGTAAGCTCATCGTGCAGGTTGATGTCCACGTTTTCAATTTGAGCTGAAAATGGCACAATGATCCAATCAGGGATGTCAATGTTTTCCAAATCAACAAAACGCAGTTTAAAATCGTCGCTCAATTTTTGAAGATTACCTGCATATATTTCCAAGTCTACTTCTTTTATTTCCAATTGTCACATATCTGAAAAATACTGATGATCCTTCGACCAATCGACCCTTCCGGTTCGGATCGACCCCCATTCGACCCCCTGGCTCAGATCGACCCCCGCTTGTGTTAAATAGACCCCTGGGGGTCTATATAGACCACTTTGGCGACCTCTGCTCTACATCAATGTTTTTAGGGTTCAGTGCCACTGCCTGGTATACATTTGCCCGGTATGTCCTACATCAATGTTTTGTAAGCTCAATTGCCCAGTATGCATTTAACCGGTACCCCAATCATAGGTGTTTCTCCTAATCTATCCTATCCAGATATTAAAATACCGAATAAATATAATGATATTAACGAATCAAATCGGATGTAACAGATATTTCGGACATTCACCAAAGCGACTAATGTGATTGTTGACATTCACCAGTGAAAATCGACATTCTCTTGATTTCCGTCATTCACGATAGCAGATAAACTTTCTAGCGACGAGACGTCACATCATTTGCGCACTCGTGCTTGCGCGGTTATGCAAACAACTCATATTAGTTTTTTTTAAATTTTAAAACTGAAAAAACTAGCCATTTTTTACCTTTTATTTTACTGAATATATGTTTCAAAATCATTATTTTTTTTACGTAATCGGGAAATACATAATAGGGAAAGGGAATACATACTTGTGTTTTACATAATAGGGATTATAGGGAAAGTGAAATAAAAATGATTCAATTCATTTTCTGAGTGACAGACATAACTGTACTTACCTGTGTAGAAATTTGCTGAGCTCCTTCTGGTAGAAAATGTTTCTGTATCAAATTTGGAGCCAGCAAGTGACTGAAAATACAATTTTTATTTGCAACAGTTTCATAAAGATACGCACACAAAAAAGTACTCTATTGCTTTATCTTTATTTGCTCAGTACTTATTTTCCTATAAACGATAATATATTAAAGAAAAATATGCCAACAAAAGGAAGTAATTTCTAAATAAAAGAAAAAAAAATCCCAAAATAAGAAATAAAAAGACCAATTGTGCCTTAATTGCTCTGTAATTCGTTTTCAAAAAGGATAAAATAAAATTTTACTTCAGATTTATTCATGGCACAATGGGAAATAATTCCTCTAGGGTAATTCATCTTTATAGCATTTAAAACGTTATAAGAAATTAGGTAATATCTAAAATTTATTTGCATATATTTAGTTGTATATACTTATTTAAAAATAGGTATAATTATTTTGAACAACGAGAAATAAAATATTTTTTTAGTTTATTTTTTAGCATGTGCAAACAGCAAAATAATTTTTTTAATAATTTTAATATTTCTATTTCTAAAAGAATGAATTTACGAAACATCATTTAGGATTTGATATTAAAATATATTTGTGAGTATGCTTCCAGAAAATTAATTTTTATAAATTGTTCAAAATATCATCTAGGAAAAAAAATAAAAAAATTAAATAATAAAAAATAAGGAAAGAAAGAAAATTTTTTTTAAGTGGACGAAAAAATTTCACCTAAATTATATTTTCATAATATTATAAATTTATTACTCTATGTTTTGTTTGTTATAGATAGGAGTTAAAAGATATTATTCGTTCATATTTAGTCCATTTAAGAACATTGTCTTTTTTAAATTTATATTTTATTGCTTTCTTCTTTTTAGTTTCGCAGTTTATTTACCTCAGAAAGTTGTCATATTTTGATTGGCGATAGAAGGAATTTTCGCCAATCGAAACTTGAACGTTGTTTAGAAACATTTGAAACTCGTATCAAGGAAGAGATTTTTGGATGAAATTTTAGTTAAGCTGGTCAAGAAAACGAGTGACCACCTTAACCAGTGCTCCATTGTTACATTCAAACCAAAGAATTTTGTGTGAAGAGGATGAACACTAAATTCACACAAGTTTCAGACCAGGATCAATAATACTGTTTTAAAAAAATATGAATTAAATGCAAAAAAAAAGAAAAAAAGAAGAAAAACGCAATAACAATTTAAAGAAATATAATCAAAGGAAGTTTTGACTAAACTTTGCATAATTCTACTACTCAGTCTATTTAATAATATAACACGTGAGTCAATTTCTGCACTACCAATTTTTACTCTCTATCGATTTCTAATTTAATTTTATCGTATTTTATTGTATTATTACATTTCAAAAAAATGTAATAATACATAAATTAAATAATAATATATTTTTAATTTTTTTTTCAATTCCTACTATTAGTTCTCTCTCTATATATATCTTATTCAAATTTTCAATCTTTAATAAAATACTTTTTATTCATCCACTCAAATTCAAATACATATTTTTTACACTTTTACTGGATGACACTTAATGTTAATACAGTTCTTTCAAGTATAAACTCATTCAATAAATTTAGTTAATTAATTTTAGTTTCATATGTTAGAAAGAAAAAAAATTTAAATACTTAAAAAAAGTAACTAAAATAAATATTTCCTCTGTTGACCCTAAGTAGGAATTGACTTTATATATATATATATATTAATTGTTTTCTTACTTTAAAAGCTTCATACTTACAATTCTGAAGAAAAAGTAAAAATTTTTTAAGACTTATTTATGCTTCTTATAGGTAATATGCTCACGAAAATTTATTTTTCTTTTATCTATTGTAAACAATTTACAAAAAACAAGTAAAAGCTTAGATTTCTTTTTCAAATTTAAAAGCTATAATCAAACTCAAATGGTAAAATCTTTTTGTTCAGTTTTTGAAAGAAGGAAAAAACAACACTGTTGTAAATATAAGAGTTGTTTGCTACAAAAGTATCTCTCTGTACATTATGTTTCAAATTAGAACAACGATCACTTAAGATAAAGGATTTCTTTCATTTAATAAAAAAAAATGGCGTCATTGAATCAATATAAGTTGTTCTACAACTAGTCCTACAATGTTGATTTATTTTACGGATATTAGTCAAACAACTCTATAAAACTTTTGGAACATTTTTTTAAAAAACAAATAAAACGATTTCTGGTAGATTCCATCGGTAAATCGATTTTTGTGTCTCGATTCTTTTTCATGGAATTTTTATCGCTTCGGAAACCTTCTTTTTCGTGAAGGAAATAAGAATTTTCTATAGAAGGGGAGATATGAAGTAATGCCTTTATTTTGGCCGAATCGACCGGTCACTTCCACGATTGAATGAATGAGAACTATTGAAGGGAGGAAGATTGAAAGTGTGGGGAGAGATATCACCTCAGAAATTGATCACCTTTTTTTTTTCTTTTCCCTCTCACTGCTTAAATAATAAAATAATGCGGTATTAAATGTCGCGCAACTTACAGTTCCTGGCCAAATTATTCGACGCACTAAAAGATTCCATGTACAATCTTAATTATCAGGTGATACTATTACAGCTGTATTGTTTTTACGAGACTAAAACCAGTTTGCACTTGTTTACGTTCGTGTATCCATTGGATAAATTAGACGATATATAATATAAATTCGACAGTTGGATAAATTAAACGATATATTATATACATGTAGAATATTCATTATGTCTGTAATTATATTAGCATACAGTACCGCTCAAAAGTATCAGTACACCTAGAAACTTATAAAAAAATGGCAAAATTCAAAGTGTCATAACTTCTTTAAAAATGATCAAAAATGCTTCTGCTTTAGCTCATTTTGAAGCTTAAAATCTCTACTTTTATGTACTCTAATTGTTTTTAATTAATATATTTTGCAACTATGTACAATTACACTCGAAACAGTCATAGAAAATTGTATTAATTTTTTGTGAAGTTTGACGCGATGTACGGGCACAAAGGGGTTAGATATTCTTAATTTTTATTATACCATTGAAAAATTTGGACTTTTAGCTTTCATTTAAAGAAAGAAAATTTCAAAAAAACATGTTTTTTGATGAAGTTATTGTGAAATAAAAAAAAAGTTTTTTTTTCAGAATTTAATGATTTTTCAGCAATTATAATGAATTCCGCACAGGAACTATTTAGGTTTGTCCTCCTACCTTCGGTCTTCGATCCATTAACCAGCATAAATCATATGTGGAAAGTCCTTCAAGAGCAGTGGCGAAAAATAGACAAGATAACATTAAAAAAGCTGTTTGATCGGATGCCTCGAGTGTGTGCTGCAGTTATAAAAGCGCGGGGAGGATATTTTGAAGAAAGCAAAATATGATGTAAAATATTTTTTCATTATTACATTTTTGTTTTCAAATTTTTTCTGAGAAAAATACGAAAAAATAAATTTCAAAATATTAAATTGTAAACGTTGATTCTTATTTCATTATTATATTTTCCAAAAAAAAAAAGTTAAAATTGTTATAATAAATTATGTAACAATATTATCGAGAAATATTAAATTTTAATTTATTTTAATTAAAAAAAATTCGTATCATATTATAATTACACTAAAATTCATTATAATTGCTGAAAAATCATTAAATTCTGAAAAAAAACCTTTTTTTTTATTTGACAATAACTTCGTCAAAAAACATGTTTTTTTGGAATTTCTCTTTTAAATGAAAGCTAAAAGTCCAAATTTTTCAATAGTATAATAAAAATTTACAATATCTAACCCCTTTGTGCCCGTGCATCGCGTCAAACTTCACAAAAAATTAATACAATTTTCCATGATTGTTTAGAGTGTAATTGAACATAGTTGTAAAATATATTAATTACATAAAAGTAGAGATTTTAAGCTTCAAAATGAGCTAAAGCAGAAGCATTTTTGATCATTTTTACAGAAGTTATGACACTTTGAATTTTGCCATTTTTTTTATAAGTTTCTAGGTGTACTGATACTTTGAGCGGTACTGTATTATAATAATTAGACTAAAACTATTAGACGCACTATAAGATTCTACGAAAAATCTTAATTATTAGGTGATACTATACAGCTTTATTGTTTTATGAGCCTGTTAGCACTTGTTTACGTTAGTTTATCAATTGGTTAAATTAGACGATAGATAATTTAAATATAGAATCGTTATTATATCAGGTATTATATTACTATATTAAAATAATAAGACCAAATTATTAGACGCACTGTAGTGTTTTAATAATGACGTGTTTTGCGCGAGTTTATAGGCAATACTTTTACATTTAAACATACATGTAATGGTTTTTTGTTCGGGAGATTTTTTATATACTTCCTATTTGTATTTATTTTTAACGTATTGCATTACAATTCTAACGAATTGATGCACGAACATAAACAAGTGCAAATCGTGTACAAGCAATAAAAAGCTGTATAGTAATCACCTGATAATTAAGATTTTACATAGAATCTTAGAATACGTCTAATAATTCGACCAGAAACTGTACTTTCTGGAAACGATTGAAACTTGTGCAAGCACGAGTTTCTAACAAAATATCTGTAAAAATCGTTTTTAATGATAGACTTTGAAGCACACATATCTAAACAAATATACTATTCAGATTTTATTCTCATGTCAAACAATCTTGAAGAACGTAATTTCGTAAAAAACGTTCTTTGAGGGGCTGAGCAACAAATCGAGCACTAATCTAATTCTCCTGTGCTTAAAAATTTTGTGCACAGTGAACCGAAAAAATATCTTTCAGAATAACATTTGTTCTAATGATCGTTTTTCCCACATTTGGTTTTTTGTTCTAATGGTAGAAAAGATTGATCTCAAATATTCTAATTAATTAGAGACTTTGTAACTTAAGTTATGATATTGGGTATTAAAGTTCTTTCTTTAATTTTTTGACAGATCTGGAGAATATGGAGGTGCATCTGAAGAATAAGATCCCAGTAGTTACTGTAGAGAACTGAAACATTTTTGGATTCTGTTAATGTTAATATCACTTACTACACATTTTGCCATATCTCGGGACTTCCTTCATCAAAGCGAAACATTTTTACACGTAATTATCGAACTTGTATGTTCAATAATAATTAATTACATGCAAAAAAATAAAAATAATGTTCTTTAAAATTTCATAATTCGAAAATTATTCGAAGAATTTCGTTCAAAGCTTGTATTTTCTCATTTAAAACAACGCAGTTTAAAAGTAAGGACAAATTTCCATGCCTTAATATTTCCTAATTTCTTCAACCAATATAGAATAAAATAATAAATAATGTTTAAAATTATTTTTAATAAAATTATCTTTGGATAAATGACTTTTATAATTATTTGCAAAATTGTTCCGCTTAAAAAATTAGAGAATTAGAACAAATTTTATTCAGGGTGACATCTTGACACCTGCAGTCTATAATTTATTTATTTTTGTTTCATGTAAAACATTCGGCTTTTTTTAAATAAAATTACCATTTAACCGATTTTGCTCAATTTTTTTATTTTTACCACGTAAAATTATATTTTAAAATGGTGCAAAAATTGAATACTTTACAATTTAAAATTTTTTTGATCTTTATTATATAAAATAATAAAAAATGATAAATATTAACTAAAAGTTATTTTTTGCATGGAATTATCTTTGGATAAACGAATGTTATAATTGAGTGCAAAATTCATTTCGCTTAAAAAGGTTTCGAGATATAGCGAAATACGTAAAAAGTAAAATTTAAATGAAAGGATTCACACTTTAGGGATCTCTCCTGGCGAAACTATTGAAACCATATTTCCCAGATTGTGACTACCCTTAATATTTTGCTGCTCAGAAATCTAAATCCGTTGAAAAAAAAGATATGCTTATTCAGAGATATGTTTTTCTGTCTGATCTCGCAATACATATTATCGTTTGCACTTATTAATTAGCATATTTGTGATCACCTCCTCGATCCATTAAGAATGAGTCTTAGAACATGAAAATCCGATCATTAGATCAAAAGTTATTCAGGGTGGTCCGTTTTTTATTTTACTCTCTGTGCATCATTTAATATTGCAAAAAGGCCTATTTTCCGTAAAATAAATAGTCATAATCCAGAAGTTTCCACAACCTTTTATAATGATATAGAGAAAGCGATAAAGATATTTAAATCCTAATAATGTTGAAAATATATAACTTACGTATTTAGTTCCAGATCTAGTTTAAATTTGTAATTGAAGGCTTTTACTAAAAGAGAAGTTGAGTGATAATGTTTCCCAGTCTGAAATTAAAAAAAGACAAGAACAACAATTAATTTCAAATATCATGGTTACAGTGATGTTCGCAAAATGTCAGCTCATTTAATATACAGTGGTACCCCAATTTAACGAATTCATTGGGACCGAAAATATTATTCGCTAAATCGGGGATAATTCGTAATATCGGTGGCAAAAAAAACTGACTAAATTTATGAAATATCCGAACATCTCTAATAAGCAAATAAATAGAAATCTCACACTTTTTATTCACAAACTTAAAATACAGCGAATGATTAAGCGATGATTAATTCGAAATTTTAAAGCAACTAGTGAGTAAGGTTTGCTTATTTCCTTGATTTTTTACTTTAAAAAGTTCTTTTTGAGCGTTATGAAGAGAGCAAAATGCTCCTTCATTTACATCTTGCTGCATTAGATAAGTTTTCACTGCTTCCAAATAGTACGAAGCTTCAGAAAAAGTAACAGTTTTCACTGGTGATTGATTATCATCGACTTCTGTGTCAGAGTTGCTATTCATTGATTCTTATAAATCTACATCATTAACTTCATAAAATTCGTTAAATCTATAAATTCGGTAAATAGGGGTTCGTTAAGCAGAGGTTCGAATGAACTTTAAAAAAAAATAGAGATAATTTATTGGCTAAAACAATAAATTCATTGATCAGTTTTTTATTCTGCTCAAAATTCTCGTTTTAGAACATGGGCAAAACCCGTTTCACCAACTTCTCAAATGAAAATTGATCCTTCTTTTTTTTTTCAAAGAATAAACTAATGAACCCAAATATATTCGCAATGTGATGTCCTCCATTTGCTTAAATCAATTAAAACATTTTTTGAAGAGACTTTAGTTAGGTATTCTCACTAAAGCTACACAATGAGCTATTGCGAAGGTCTGGGAAACATCCCTGAGGATGATCCGAAGACATGCCATCGCAATTTTGATCCTTTGTAGAGGGCACCCCTGCTTCGATAGCCCGACGACTTGCATGATGCGAAGTCGAGCACTTTACGGTAGAATAGTTTAACGAGGACCGCAATCCCTCGGTCATACTAATCCAAGTGGTCACCCACCCGCACACTGACCGCAGCCCTCAATGATCTGCTGGGAACCATGTCTTAAAGATCAGTCCACTGCGGGACTTAGGTTTATAATGAAATCGGTACTTTGCATTCAGAAGTTCCCGCGGGCCGCACATCAGCAGTCGGCGGACCGTAAGTTTTTTACCCCTATAAGATTTAGTGTGAAGGCATGATGATTAGGGAATTCAAAACGGGACTTACCTTGTTAGCCCCAGCATCCCTGGTTAGAACTCCCAGCTTCTGATGTTGGCGCACTTGCACGGGATAGATGACTTCATAATACCTTGAGGGTATGTTGGCGATGAATTTCTCATTTTCGGGATACAATCTTTTTAATCTATCTGCCTCCGCTGGTGTAGCGTGCAGTTTCAGGCCAGCAAAAAGAAGAAAGACACAACATTAGATATTTGTACAATACAGTTACATATTCTTTTTAAGTTATGATATTTATTTAATAACTTCAACTTCAACTTCCAAATGTATTATGATCGATAAAGTAAGGAATTTAAATTCACGATAGTTAAATAAGATAGTTTGTCACGATATTTGAGCCGCGACCACTCAGTATTTAAGCAACTGAGCTGTCGCTGTAACGATTGTCACTGTGTGGTGGTCAATGGGTTACAACTTGTCAAGGCGGCCGGTGCGCGTTGCTGACCCTATCGACTATGTCAACCTTCATCTATCAAAAAGTACCTCAAGGTGGAATCAAATTAACATGTCTTATATACTAGTGATTTGGTATTTAATATTTATAGTGGTAGTTACGCCACAATCTCGCTGGCCCACAGCCAGTTGTTGTTTAACTTTTCTATAGTTAGTAATTGGAAAAATATTATATCTTCTGAGTTGCTTCTTATGCTTATTAATGTTATCTGGAAATGTGTTTATCATTTTAGAAATAGTGAAATTTAGCGGATTGCAGTTATTAATAAAAAAATCAGTGCATTGTATTTTCTTTGTTAGTGAAAGTAGCGACAGTGCTAAAACCATATTCTGATTATTCTCACCACAACTGAGGACAAAAGTAACAGACATTCGTGAACTAAGGTCCACGAATGTCTGTTACTACTTGTTGTGATTTTTGAATATAGTGTTTTATAGTATTCCCCTCATTCAACAGCACCATCCATTAACGAAAAAAAAATCGTCTCTGAACTTAGTGAGAATATTCTAAGTAGAATGCAGCGAATTCTTTCATTGATTTTTCTATTCGCCTCTTACTTTTGAGGACACCCTGCTAAGCTATTCTTTAGGTTATACAAAATTTAAAAAAAATTAATAAACAAAAAATAAATAAAATTAAAAAATATATATATTGTAGCAGCACTTTGTTTAGCGTCGTAACTATTTTAATGTTCGAAATATCAAGCAATAATTGCAATAAGCACTGTATTTGTTGCATGCAGAGCCATTTGTCGAAAAAATTTTGATCTGGAACCAGGAATTATTTAAGTGAAGTGATATATATGTTACTGTGAATGATCGAAATTGGTGGTTGTTGACTTCCACTGGTGAATGTTGACAATTACATTGGTAAATGTCCAAAATACTAAGTCTATTTAAGTTGCCCACTATATATTTGCCTGTTATTCCCTACACCAATGCTTTGTTGAGGTACAGTACCACTTCCTGGCATATATTTGCCCGGTATGCCCTACATCGATATTTTTTTTAAGGTCAAGTGCCCAGTATGCATTTAACCGGTACCCCGAACACTGATGTTTTTCCTAATCTATCCTCAACAGATATTAAAATATCGAATAAATATAATAATATCAACTAATAAAATGATTTCATATCGGATATAACAAACATTTCGGACATTCACCAAAGAGACTATGTGATTGATGACATTCACCGGTGAAAGTCGACATTCTCTTGGTTTAGGTCATTCATATTTATATAGTTCAGTCGTTAGTGTAATTTAGTATACTCTGCATGTCATAGATAAAATAGAAAAAGTTTGAAAAAATAAAGTGTGATAATTATTATTTCAAAAACATATTTAAATCAAAATATAAATAATTTAATATTCAAATAATGTAAACACTTTATAAATAACTTAAAAGAACATTTATAACACGAGAAGGACACCTTTAGTTAAATTGCACCGATTTCAAGCAAATTTACGGTTGGCATAAATATGCTGACATAATTGGAACGATTTGCACTGTAATTAAATACAGTGATAAGCACCACAGCTGTTACGTAATGGAAAAGATTGAAATCATTTTATACGAACTGTTAACGACTTTATGCGAGGGAACGAGAAAGGCTTATCGTGGACGTAGGAGGGAAGGGGAAGGAAAATTTGAACTTCTGGTTGGTCTTTAAATAAAACAAGTTAGAATTTAAATTCACCAAAATTTTGATCGTATTATTAATTAAGTATCGATTAGAAAATTATTATGAAATTTGAGAGTAAACCGTGTTAATAGGGGAGATAGAAAGGGTCCTTATTTAATTTGGGGTTAAATCAAATTGTTTGGAAATAAATATTTTGAAACAAGCATTATTTAGCGATGTAAAAAATCATATTTAACCGCAAAAGATGGAATACAATTAATGGAAAGTTTATAAAGCCGAATGATCAGCATATTTGTATTTAAATATTCCAATTCTTCAACATAATCGCCAATCCTAACACCACAGTTAGTTTACAACAACAATATTAATCAAATTGTATTACCGTCTGGCTTTTACTCGCAGCGGAAATCGAAAGCGCAGTGTTCAAGATATGTCTGCGATGCTGTTAATTATCTTCAATTTTAGTAATAATTTTAAAATCTATCTGACAGCCGTTAAACAGCACAAACCACCATAAGTATGAGTTCAGGACATTTTAAAATCTATCTGGCAGCCATTAAATCACATAAACCTCCAGAAGTATGAGTTCGGGACATTTCAAAATCTATCTGAGAGCTATTAAATCACCTAGCACTCATGAATGTGAGTTCGGGATATTTCAAAATTTATATAACAACCATTAAATTCCCTAACACCCAATAGTATGATTTCGGGACATTTTAAAATCTATCTGGTAGCCATTAAATCACCTAACCACCATAAGAATGAGTTCGGGACATTTTTAAATCTATCTGACAGCCATTAAATCACACAAACCTCCATAAGTATGAGTTCGGGACATTTCAAAATCTATCTGAGAGCTATTAAATCACCTAGCACTCATAGATATAAGTTCGGGATATTTCAAAATTTATATTGCAACCATTAAATTCCCTAACACCCAATAGTATGATTTCGGGACATTTTAAAATCTATCTGGTAGCCATTAAATCACCTAACCACCATAAGAATGAGTTCGGGACATTTTTAAATCTATCTGACAGCCATTAAATCACACAAACCTCCATAAGTATGAGTTCGGGACATTTCAAAATCTATCTGAGAGCTATTAAATCACCTAGCACTCATAGATATAAGTTCGGGATATTTCAAAATTTATATTGCAACCATTAAATTCCCTAACACCCAATAGTATGATTTCGGGACATTTTAAAATCTATCTGGTAGCCATTAAATCACCTAACCACCATAAGAATGAGTTCGGGACATTTTTAAATCTATCTGACAGCCATTAAATCACACAAACCTCCATAAGTATGAGTTCGGGACATTTCAAAATCTATCTGAGAGCTATTAAATCACCTAGCACTCATAGATATAAGTTCGGGATATTTCAAAATTTATATTGCAACCATTAAATTCCCTAACACCCAATAGTATGATTTCGGGACATTTTAAAATCTATCTGGTAGCCATTAAATCACCTAACCACCATAAGAATGAGTTCGGGACATTTTTAAATCTATCTGACAGCCATTAAATCACACAAACCTCCATAAGTATGAGTTCGGGACATTTCAAAATCTATCTGAGAGCTATTAAATCACCTAGCACTCATAGATATAAGTTCGGGATATTTCAAAATTTATATTGCAACCATTAAATTCCCTAACACCCAATAGTATGATTTCGGGACATTTTAAAATCTATCTGGTAGCCATTAAATCACCTAACCACCATAAGAATGAGTTCGGGACATTTTTAAATCTATCTGACAGCCATTAAATCACACAAACCTCCATAAGTATGAGTTCGGGACATTTCAAAATCTATCTGAGAGCTATTAAATCACCTAGCACTCATAGATATAAGTTCGGGATATTTCAAAATTTATATTGCAACCATTAAATTCCCTAACACCCAATAGTATGATTTCGGGACATTTTAAAATCTATCTGGTAGCCATTAAATCACCTAACCACCATAAGAATGAGTTCGGGACATTTTTAAATCTATCTGACAGCCATTAAATCACACAAACCTCCATAAGTATGAGTTCGGGACATTTCAAAATCTATCTGAGAGCTATTAAATCACCTAGCACTCATAGATATAAGTTCGGGATATTTCAAAATTTATATTGCAACCATTAAATTCCCTAACACCCAATAGTATGATTTCGGGACATTTTAAAATCTATCTGGTAGCCATTAAATCACCTAACCACCATAAGAATGAGTTCGGGACATTTTTAAATCTATCTGACAGCCATTAAATCACACAAACCTCCATAAGTATGAGTTCNATATATCACGTATTCAGAACAATTTTATAACGAAAATTCCGTTTTGTTTTGTTTTTGAGCATGTGTTTGAGAAAGGGAGCGAAAGACAGAGAATGTGTTGAAGTGTTGAACAACAACACAATCTGCACTCTACCAAATTCTGCAATGAGGGCAAATGCTGCACTCGTCTTGCGGATATGTTTTGTTCCACATATAATATGTTTCGTGAAAAATTCACATTACTCCGCACTTCTATGAAATTAACTATTTCGAGCACGGTTTTTCACTCATTGTGGAGTCTATTATTTCAGAGAATGATGTCACTTTTCCATGTACAATGAAACTCATTAAACCCATTTGTAACATTTTATAACCGTCGTTGAACAGCCGACCCAATTGTTTTGGGTTTACCACTACTAGTGTTCAACTCCTTGTAATTTTGAACCCAATCCAGAAGACAAGGGAATTCCTAGATCGAGTATTGGGAGAAATTCGCCTTCGTGGAGGACTTTTTGATGGAGCCATCTCACATTTGCGTTACATGGAGGGGAAGACCAGGAGAATCTCCCACGATTAGCCTTACGGCAAAGGGACTCTAACCCATGATCCGTCTACCACTGAGGATATTTCACGTCAGCACTGTGGTCGGTGCAAGCCGGATACGGAATTCGTATCGACCAGTCATCGCCGGGATCGAACCGCGGTTCACCTCATTGGAAGGCGAACGCTCTATCCCCAGAGCAACCCCATTTGTTTTAGTTGCAAACATACGCAAATTCA